AAGAAGGGGGGGGGGGGGGAGTGGGAATTCTTGCAACGAGAACAATTATTTTTTCACAACGAAACATCTGAAAGATCTACTACGAGCTGTTGTTTGAAATAAATAATTTGACTTTTATTGTCGGTAAATTCACAAAAGCCAATAAATAATTTCTTTTAAACGATTTGTACTCTAGCATTTGTAAAAAATCGTCCAAACAGCAGATAAGCGACAAAGTGCTGATACGATCCGGAGATAAATAAGTAAGATACACCGTCCCGTGCGATTCTTCTCATTATTCGTTTAAATACATTTTTCATCAAAATTTTCCTCGCTCCCTTAAACTCCGTTATTCAAATTATTTGAACTCTCGCTTTTACACAAATTCACACTATGCTTGGAGCAAAACATTGAAAAACTTTTGTCTTAACCATCTCACTTCATATTCTTATTATCTCCGACGATGATATAACCATCGTTGCTCCGCCTATATTATTTAATACCGCGAATCCGTGCAAGAGTGAAAAGACCTCAAGATCGCATGAATTATTGAGCGCGCGACGAAAGATAAGCGAAATTGTATTAGAGGGTGCACCAGCGCACCACCGACGTCCGCCATAAGCTCAATGCGACGGTCCTGTTGCCCGGAGCACTTGGAGCTTCGGAAGCTCGGTAACGGCGGCCCCAAGCCCACGCAACGCTGAATATGAAAGAGTCGGGCTCACGGGAACTTGGGAGGTGAATCGAGGCCCCGGCGCACGGGAGGGGCGCCCACCTCGACGCCTTCCCCCGGCGGTCCCATCAACGATCAACCACTCATGCGTTTATTTACTTGCACTTTTTTTGTTTTGTTTTTTTTTTTGTTTTTTTTTTTGTTTTTTTCAGCGAACATCGCGGTGGCGCGCTCTTATCTGTCCGCCGCTACCAAACTGTCGGAGAGGACGCATGCTGTATCCATGGTTTCCCTTGCCCAGGTAATTCGCACTACGTGTCGCCGAGAAACCCCCATTGCATACCTATCCCTCCGTCGCTGCCCTCAAACACTCTCGTAGTCCTCGTTGTCATCCAAGTCATTCAAGTCGTCCAAGTCGCCAAGTCGTTTTACTCCTCTCGCTCTTTCTGTATCAGCCATCCATCCTCCCACCCACCCATCTCACCAATCTTCTCTTTACTCGGCCCCGCTTTTGTCCTTCCCACCTCTTGCGCCTCGCATGCTGCATTCGCCAGATAATATTCAAATATTTAAATTAGCCTTGCACCAGACTGACCAGCTTTTAGCCTGGAAATTACTATTTGGAGAAAAGAGCTGAAAGGAGCTGCGGATGAACGCTTGCTTGTGCGGCCCTAACGTTTCAATTTTGGCCATTTATATTTATCAGAGGTTAGAGTGGTCCGTTAGGAATAGTAAATGCGTGTAGTATTAATTAAGTTAATCGGCGCGTCACCTTTCTTTCGATAATGCCAGTCTAAACATTAAAAATAAAACAAGGAGCGTCTCGTTATTAATGCGAAAGGATGAGTTGCTTATAGGAGCCAAGGTTTTAGCCTAACGTTCGTTTATTTTATAATTGTGTATGTACAGAGCTCCACTGCTTCAGCTCGGAACGAGCAAGAATACATGTGTTATGATGAATAGATGTGTATGTCCAGAAGCTGATTATTATCATAAAGTTTTGTATACAGTTGTGCGGACGGGCAGTATGGATTGCAAAAATGCGCGATATGTTAACTTAAATTCGTAAATTTACTTGATTTTTTAATTGTCGTATTATATATCAATAACTTATATAGTATTTTAAATAAAAGTTTTCGTATAACGTTAAATCCTAATTTTAAATGCAAATAAGCAAATACTGTGCATTGTCTCCTTTTCGCGGTAAAATTGTAAATAAAGAGAGAAAAAAAAAAAAAAAAAAAAAAAAAAATTGTCCTGCATTAATCAGGTTTTAACAAAATACTCGGATAATATAATAAAAGATACTTTGAGGAGTAATTATTTAACTTTTCGTAAAGTTAAGCGAAATGAAGTTTATATAATAGAGTAAATTTGCAGTTAAGGAGATAAAAAAGAAATTCAATAGTGAAACTCCTTTAAATTACTCAGCCATCAAATTACTAAATGACAAAATAAAATTTTATCTATACGAACCGCAATTTATAGCAGTTTTAAGTTAAATGTGTCTTTCAAGCTAATTCTGTTCTCGTATTAGTCGGACAAGGTTAGAAATCTAATTGCAAATTCGCAATGAACACAGAAACGCTGTGTAGCAAATTGCGCACTTCAGGAATTTATATTCTTGCAACAAAGTGCGATTGTTGAATAAATTGCAAATACAATTTGGCACATATTTATTCAAATAATATTTCATTATGTCGATTATGCATTTTGTATAAGTCGGCCGCTTATATAATATTATAAGAGTTTAGTATTATACGCTTGGCATAATCAATCAATTTTTATTTAATTTAAAAAAGTAATACGAACGATTTGTTAAAATCGGCCTGCTGAAAGAAGCTTGGTTAAATGAAAAAAAAAAAAAAAAAAACACACAAGCTGAAGAGGTTTATTCACTGAAAATGAACTTTCTAATTTTAATGAAATTATTATTTTCTATTCAACTCTTAAGAAATGTAAAGCAAAAATTATAATCTTAACCCACGAATTTATCTCTTATTTCAAAATTAACGAAAGAGAGCTTGACAATAATGGAAAATACTCGCAGATAATGGAGAAAAACTGTTTGTAGGTTCTCGGTTTCATAGTTGGGCCTGCGCTGCAAATGTCCGTAACTCCTTTAGGAGACAAGGGCTTAACAGTAATAGGACTGCCTATGAATATGTACACAGCGACTGGATGGATCAACGTTCTTATGGGTATATTCAACTTTATTCTTTTTTTCCCTTGGAGCTTTAAAGAACACAAAATCGCCGCAAGAGAAGCTATGCGAGATCAAGGAAAGGCAACCGGTAATTACGAGCATTTATTCATATCAAATAAGGGACCTAGAGAAGCCAATATAATATAAGTGTATCTGCACACGCGCACGCACACGCACGCACACGCACGCACGCACACACGCACCCGCATACATACATACATACATAGATAGTTACAATTGTGTACATTTGTGTAGATACTGTTTTTATTAATCGATACATTTTTTCTTTTATTTCATTCCATTGTTTCAGAGAAGGAAACGTGGAAAGCCATGAAACCGGATTACTTGGCTGCTTGGAGCTTAATATGCGCCTTCTTTGTCTTAGTTTTCAACTTCGTACTTCTAGAAACGTAAATAAATGAGGCTCCTTATTAGAAACCAAGTCACCTTAGAGTTTGTTTTCTGCCGACAAATTATTCATACTTACGTACTTAATATCCATATATAATGGGTATAATAGCTATGTAATTACGCATATAAAGATGATTTAATATAAATTTATTCAGACTTGTATACTCTGTTTTTATATTTAACCATTTAAGCAGGTGCAAAGTGTCATAAATATATATATACATATATATATATATATATATATATATATATATATATAAGATGCACAATAACCATACATTATATCCATTACGGTGAAAAACAAATTTTTAAGTACTTTTACTACTTTTTTGCGAAACAAAGTAAACTTATGTAGTAAAAGAAGATGGAGAGAAAGAGAGAGAGAGAGAGAGAGAGAGAGAGAGAGAGAGAGAGAGAGAGAGAGAGGATAAAAATAAAATCACATTATGATTCTTCGAGCTATATGTAAGCTATATGATTTAGAAATGGAAAGGTCGGTATATATATATGTGAAGATCGTTGTAACGAGAAAGTAGTTGTGTAGTCTAAATATTTCGTTATCGATTAATCACTGTTCAATTGCTATCTCGTCTTTGAATATCGATCTTTCCTTTTCTAAAACATACACCAATTTACGTATATATATGCGCATGTGCATATGTGATAATTGAGAGACAGTTGCGGAAGGTTCGGGAAATAATGAAAGATTGTAAAATAAATAAAAGATACAAACGTAGAGACGAACTGTGAAATTAATAAAAGTAAAGGAAACTCAAAGGTGACTACTAGCTGTTTCGTAATAAGGATAATAAGGAAGGTCGAGTGGATGCAAGAGCAATCTCGACTGATTTCTCAGTGCCAGAGTAGAAGCCGCCTGACGCTTGGGCGTTAAATTTTACAGGCTGGGGACCTCCTTGACGATGGATCAATTCGCTTGGGATCGCGAGCAATCGGTCTTTTACATGGGCCTCCTAATGAGCGTCGGGGCCGTCGTCGCCTGCATTACTTTCGTCCTCATAGGGCCGCTCTGCAAGAGGTGATTATTGCACAAAGTGCCGTAAATTGTGCTTTAAAGGCAGGGCAAATAACCCGAGGCGCACGATTGTCTTACAGGTTCGACGAGAGACGAGTCGCGATCTGGGGTGGCTTCTTCTTCATGGTAATCGGACGAGTGATTTGCATTCCTTGGGGATCCGATCTGCCGCTCATCGCCGAACTTGGACGTACGTCGCACGATAAAATTTCTTATCCGTGTTTATCCGCCCTTCTTCATAATTTATACGCAAAAGTTAATGCTCCCCTTCCCATCGATTCATTCGTTCGCCGTGCCACTCTGCTTTTATCCCCGCTACTTCTCCCGTCCTCACCACAGACATCGCTCGATGTCGAGTAACCCTAGATTATATATTAATTTCTACAGACATAGACCTGTCGTCGTCGGATCCCTCATTTTCATTCTCGGCAAACCTTTTTTTCCTCTATGCTCGCGCATCGAATGTCCTCGCGACCTTACTCTCGGTAAAACGTTTGCTATTCAATTTCGACGTTTCTTTCTGTCCGAAGGATCGTTCCTGCAAATCATCGCGCAGGGAGTACAAAAAAAACAAAAAAAAAAAAAACAAAAAACCCTCCTATTATACGCCAACGATCATTTAACCTTTACGTTTTACCAGTGCTTTGGCGAATCGACTGGTGACAAGACACGACAAAGTTTTCACATAATCGAAAGCTCGCTCGTTGCCTACTAAAATAGACAAGAAGCGCTGCTTGGTTTTCATTTTTTTTTTTTTTTATATGCTCATTCGGAAAAGGATGGTGATAATTAAATGTTTGCGTGCTGAAATTGATCGAACACAAAGTCGAGTTGATATTTTTTTCAAATTTCAAATTTAATCGATTCGAGCGGCTGCATCGCGATACCGAGTAAATTTTAAAGACTACCTCCCCCCCCGACCCCCTTCGC